ATTATTATTATTATTATTATTATTATTATTATTATTATTAGTATTATTAGTATTATTATTATTATTATTATTATTTTTTTTATCAGGAAACCTGGAGAAACACAATATAAAATCCCTCATGGAGGACTCTTTGAATATATTTCAGCTCCAAATTATTTAGGTGATACTTCAATCAAATCTTTTTCTTGAATCACATTTTTTAAGTCTTTGGAGTTAAAGTTGATTTATTTTTCTGAATTCAGACACAACCCTACAATAGAAAAGAGAACGGTCCCTTTAAATCAAAGACAATTTTAAAATAGTCTTTTAATTCCTGTAGAATATTGTTTCTAGGAGAGATATTAGAATGGATTGGTTGGTTTATGATAACTCTAAACCCTGGTTCCCTCTGGTTTATGTTCTTCTCCGCAACATTCCTTGGATCAAGAGCTCTGCACACACACTCCTTCTACAAGATCAAGTTCAAGGAGTACCCCTTGAACCGTTCTGCTCTTATTCCTGGCATTCTTTAATTTTTGGCAGATTTTTCTAATATTAAAGAACTGTCAACGTTTTTTCATCCTTAGTGGTGATGGTTTTGGATTGGTTTTAAAAAAAATTAGATTTCAAAAATGGACAATTTTGAAAACATTTGCACTTCTCACCCTTTGCCTAATTTTGACCCAAAAAAAGAAAAAATAGACAAAAAACGACCTAAAACTATCTGAAAGCTAACTAAAAACTACATAAAAACTACCTAAAAACTACTTAAGAACTATATAAAAACTACCTAAAAATGACCTAAAAACTACATAAAAACTACATAAAAATGACCTATAAACGACCTAAAAACGACATATAAACGAACTCAAGGCACTGTTCAATTTGAAACCCGATTCACAAAGATATACATTCTCCCCATTTCCTTCATTATCTCTTCTCCATAAATCCGCAGGTGACTTTTACAGAGCCCCACAATGAAAAATTATCAATGTTAATTGAATTGTGCAGTCCATTGTTTTAACAGGATTCAGGGTGAGGGGTACGGAAATCCCAAACAACGGAAGTATTATCTAAAATTAATAATTGAAAAATAATCGCCAAAATCCGCGAAATTGGTCCAAATAGAACCCTTTTTACCTAAACTAAGTCCTAATCAGAAAGACCCGGAATTAATTTACAATTAATCTCAGACGACTTTACAATTTCATTGTACAAATATAATATAAATCTAGTACAAATACGATAATCACAAAATAGCCCTATTTCTGCCAATTCCAAAATCTGGTCTATCTTTTTTTGAGAATTTAAAATTATTATTATTATTATGATTATTGTTATGATTGAATAAAGCTAACGCTTTCTTTTTTACACTCAACTCTGTTAACTAAAAAACATTTACCATGAATAAAAACTATAAGTAAAGTTAAACTATTTATATTTTACGAAGTGAAAATTTCCGTAGATTTAACAAACAACTGCAAAGTCCAGATTTGCGTTCATGGAGGACTGCAGTGGTAATCAGAAACAGGGGAAAGAGTGTCGTCTTCTTTCTTTCTTTCAATTATGACATGTCGCTGCAAGGACACGCCAAGCTTAAGTAAATTGTACGTAAAATTAAAATCTTACTTTTATGTCTTCAATAAATAAACTTCTTTAAATTAAACGTTATTGAGAAGAATTAAAATTTTTTAAATTTTAAATATGTATTTTTTTAATCTGCCAAATCATCAAATAAACCATTAAAATACTACTTTTAAAGCAAAAGACTTGGTTTAAATATAGGATCGTCAAATTTAAAGAGTTTCTGGTCGACTTTACAGTCTCATCCTTTGTGGGTAACCCTTTATGTTAGATATAGATGGGAAAACGGCTGGGCATTTTTTAATGAGTCCGCGGATACCCTGAGCCCGGTGTTAAATCTTATTTAGTTTTTTAAACTCCACGGACAACGTCAAACACTTCAGCGAAAATGTAATTTAATACCAAGCGCGGGTAAACGGCGGGAGTAATTAATTTTTATAAGGAAGAAAATTTTTTGAATTTCTAATGTATGTAACCAAATAAATTTGTATTTCTTATACTTAAACTAGAGGTACTTACAGGTCCCAAAGTGGTAGTATAGAGTTTACCTAGGCTCCTTCTGTCCAATAAGATTTTAGTACAAATTCTACGTTGCCATCTATTGTACACTCTCAGTACAGCTGTATTTTTACGTCACAAGTGTCAACTCAGTTTTTGTGTCTGACAAAACTATTAATAATAGTGATAATTTTAGGGAAAAGTGCTTTACACAGTGAAATAAGTGCAATTTTGTGTGTTCTTTGGTTCCTGTTTTTACACTTTTTTATTAAATCTTGGAAAACATATCAACCAATGTGAGAAAACTTAGCTTTCCTTTTACATTTGACACTTATGACGTCGTGTATAATTGGTCCATTTCTCTGTTGCAACCTATTGTACTTGATAATCTATTTGCTTCTGTCTAGTGTGCAGTGATCTAGAAATTTAAATAGTTTTGGTTTTGAGTGTGGAACCCTGTATTCTGAATCCACTTTTTTATTGCACATTTTTATAATCCTCATTATATTCTTCGCCAGAAATATCTATCATAACTCATGTCTGAACCTTTTAAAATTATTTATATTTGTTTTTCTTTTTTTGTACATAGTTTTTAGATGGTAGATAATTAGTAGTAATTTTATTCCCAGAAATATACATGACAATTAATTGCCAAGTGGGACAAATAAATTAGGAGTTTCATTTAAAAAACCAACTTTTAAAATTTCCAAGGGCAATCCTGGAAGATCAGCCGGCCTAATTTTTGGCAGCCACAGGCCAACTCTATTTATTGGAATGATTTCATTGATTAAAATATCCTCTTCATAATTGCAGCAAACCTTGTTCTTAAAACTTACAAAAAAATTGCAGAACCCTGAAATGTTTCATAGTGTGGGGGGGGGTTCCAAAAATCGTTCTCTAGGACAGACCCAAATTGTATTATTAATTTTGTTAAAATTAGTTTAAATCTAGGTTTTGGAGAAAACTGATAAAAGGGGGTAGGGTAGTGTAGAAGTTTTGGTAACTTTTCTTAAACCAGTTTAAAACACCCTCAACCTTCCTATCTATTTTTACATGGAGCTTGTGTAAAACTGTTTATAAACTCGGGCTCTCCCCATTTTACAACTACTCAATTAGATGAAACTTTACAGAAAAAAAACCAAATGAACTCTAAGAAGCGTGGAGGATACAATGGCGGGGGAGGGACGAGTAGTCAGACTAAACGTCCTCGGCAGGATGAGGACGAGGATGCTCCGGGTACCTTTGAGCAGTACCTCGCTAATATGGAGGATGATGATATGGATTATGAAGATGGTCCGGCTGGGCTTGAAGGACAGGGACCAGAGCAGGAATCTACTTATGACAGGTCTTTAAAAACTCATTTGTCTAAAGCTTTTTCTCAAAATTTTTAAAGACGGGGGAGGGGATTAATTTTGTCTGAAAAATGTACTAATGGACCCCAAATAGTTCATATTTCACCAAAAACTTTATCATTTATAAATGTGCAAAACATGAACAATCTTATTTGTAATGGATTTAACGAAACCATGCTGTTTACATCAAATTCTTGTTATAGAAACATCGGATAGAAATGATATTAATAATTCTTAATCATAAGTCCATTTTAAGAGTATGGAGTAAAGAAATGAGTGTTAGAGAAAAAACCGTCATTCATTGAGCTTAAAAATAGCTTTGAAGGAAGTTTTGACGTAATTTTGAGTATCCCTCCATGTCTGATTCACAACAGTAACCTGAGACCTCTATCTGAGTAACTATGGATTGAAGAGTTTATCTAATAAAGTCGCATGCAGATTTATGCTACATAGTCAAAAAGTTAATCAGTTGAATTCCGCAGCTTTTGAGATTGAAAAAGGCAATATCTTTCTTATAATTTCATCGGGCATGGAACGAGTTTCATTTGAAGTCCCTTCATGTTTATTTAAATATTTTGAATTTCTTGTTTAGATGGGCTCGACCTGCTTTACCTGAACTAGACCCTGCTAAGGATAAACTTGTTTTTCAGCAATTAGAGTTGGATCATTATATAGGTAAACATTGTAATTTGATAAAAAGAATTAAAATCTAAATAAAACTTTTGTAGGGGACGCCAGGCGTGACATGCCGGGGGCTAACGTCGGCCCTGCGCCGATTATGCGAGTGTTCGGCGTTACTGACGACGGAAACTCCATCTGTTGTCATATCCACGGATTTCATCCGTACATTTACGTTCCTGCTCCGGCCGGGTTCGAACCCCGCCACCTTCCCGGGTTCAGGAAATCTTTGAACGCCGCCCTGGTTGCTGACATCAAGAACAACTACCTAAACGTTGTCGACGCTGTGCTGAACGTGGACATGGTTCAGAAGAGCACCATTTACGGATTCCAGGGAAACACAATGATCCCGTTTATCAAGATAACCCTCGCCATCCCTAAACTAGTTGCTGCTTCTAAAAGACTCCTAGAGAAAGGCGATATTTCAATCCCTGAAATTGGTTGTGTTGTCATCAAGGCATTCGAGGCAAATATTGATTTTGAGATCAGGTTTATGGCGGATGCTCATATAGTCGGATGTAACTGGTTGGAACTCCCCCCGGGAACCTGGATGGCAAGGAATAAACTGGACAAAGGTATTTCTAAATGGGACTAAAACGTAAATTCATGTGACTCCATTTAAAAAGGATTCACAACTTTTTATGAGTAACAATGAGGAAAATATCATCTACTTAGAAACGTGTTAAAGTCTCACTGTCAACTTAGTTGTCTCTGCAGTCTGCAGCATAAAATCCGCAAGTGATTTTTAATCAGAAACCGCAATTTTAAATAATCATTTTTTCACTAGAAAAATAGGGTTTTCTTATTTATCCTTGATTAGACAAAGGTATGTATTTTCTTGTATAAGTCTATGCATCAATGCTCCCATTTCTTTATTCAATCTTGTACATACATTGATTAAATCAATGCAATTATGCATGTCAATTCAAATGATAAAACTCGTTTTTAACTCTAATGGTCTCATATCGTACCTGGTAAGATTTGATTTATTTTATTTAAAATATAATTTTGTCTAGGAAAAAATGGATACACGTCCCGAGCCCAGCTAGAGGTAGATGTTGCCTGGGATAAACTGATCTCCCATATACCGGAGGGGGAATGGTCCAAGGTTGCCCCCCTTCGAATCCTCTCCTTTGATATCGAGTGTGCCGGTCGGAAAGGGATATTCCCTGAACCGGAGAAGGATCCAGTCATCCAGATCGCCAACATGGTGATCAGGCAGGGAGAGAGGGAACCCTTTATCAGGAACGTGTTCACCCTGGGCTCATGTGCACAGATCGTTGGATCGCACGTGATCTCCTGTGAGAAGGAGTCAGATCTCCTCGATCAATGGGCAAAGTTTATCCGAGAATGTGATCCTGATATCCTAACCGGATACAATATCAATAACTTCGATCTCCCGTATCTTCTCAAGAGAGCAAAACATCTTCAGGTTCACAATTTTGATTTCCTCGGAAGGGTGGCGAATAAAAGATCCGAAATCAAAGAAACCGTCCTGCAGTCCAAACAGATGGGTAGGAGGGAGAACAAATCTGTAAATATTGACGGACGGGTCTCCTTTGATCTTCTCCTTATCCTGGTTCGTGATTATAAGCTCCGATCCTACACATTGAACGCCGTCTCCTTTCACTTCTTGAACGAGCAGAAGGAAGACGTGCATCACTCTGTAATATCCGATCTTCAACATGGAAATGCTCAATCTCGGCGTCGCCTTGCGGTTTACTGCTTAAAAGATGCCTATCTACCCCTCAGGTACTTTTTGATAAACATTGTTCTCATTTATTTAGTATTATGGTTTCTCGGTTTAAGTTTAGTTATTAGAAATATTTGATAAATTTAAACATTTCTGTAACAGTTTTTAGTGTGTTCGAAAAATATAAGAAATTTAATATCACCCTTTTTCCCTACTTTATACCTCAATATTCATTTCTTCACTTCTCACCTAATTTGTGTGACTTTTTTACTATATTTTACTTCAAACGAAAACTTAACATTTTCTCTTCAGTTCCCAGTAAATCTATATATATATATATATAACTAATAAAGCAATAATCAGAACAGCTTCTCAGTTTTCATATTTATTAATATTTATATATCTCTATATATAAACTATTAATTTCTTTTTATTTGTCTGTTAGTATGTCCGATCCTTACTCATAAACCCGTTCACTGATTTGCCTAAAATTTTGATTGTCGAACTGGTGGACCCACGGGAATTCCCTTAGCTAGGTTTAAAAGTTCGAATCTGAAAAGGTTGCCATCAAAGGGAACATTTAGATTCCAAGTAAGGTTTTCCAAACTAGTCGTTGATAATCTATGTTATTCAGACTATTGGATAAATTGATGTGTGTAATCAACTATATGGAGATGGCCAGGGTGACTGGTGTTCCGCTATCCTACCTCCAGACGAGGGGACAGCAGATCAAGGTTGTGTCCCAGCTGATCAGGAAGGCTATGGAGCAGGATCTGGTGATACCGACCTATCAGTCCCAGGCGTCTGAGGAGAATTATGAAGGAGCAACGGTTATAGATCCAATCAAAGGTTGGATTTTTTTATCATAAACGTTGAAACGCCCACTTTTTTGTGGGACCTCACTTGGCCCTAGGGGAAGTTAATTTTTTGGGTTAATTATGCAAAGTAAATATTCAGAAATACAAGCCCAAGATGGGGCTTCTTGCAGATCTCATCTCACATAAATATAATCACATAATCACATGCAACAACAATAGTTTTTAGCAGAAAAAGATGTGCAACGCGGCGAAGAATGCTGGTTATTTATAAAAATATTTAGTATTTTCAACTTTTTTTCAGTTTAAATACACATTTCAGATGTTTAAGTATATACTTTTTTAAGACTAAATGTTTCATGGGTCTGACCCAATCTTATAAAATATATATAAATACAGGTTGTCCCACATCATATTAGATCGTCAATCGGTCTAAATTACGATTTTCGGGACTTATCAGTAAATTTAAGAAGTATTAATTATTTTGAAAAATTGATTAAGGCTTATTTAAGAATCTTCTTGCGGAAAATGCTAGGTTTTTCGGATATTTTGGGCTTATTTTGGCGTTAAAACTTGGAGATAATTTAATATGATATGAGACGCTCTGTATATAATGGTTCTAGATTACTACAATTTTCGGGGATTTATATATAATCTTTAGAACTATATAATTATTCTAGGTTACTACAATGTTCCTATTGCAACCCTGGATTTCTCCTCTCTGTACCCCTCTATTATGATGGCACACAACCTCTGCTACACCTCTCTGATTCAACCAGGCGCTATTGCTAAGTATAACCTGAGCCCGGAGCAGTATATCAAGACCCCGAGTGGGAATATGTTCGTAAAGAGTGACGTTAGGTAGGGATGATCAACATTATAGGATCAGTTTTGGATATTAATGCAACATTTATAAAAGAAGATTTTTTCTTAAGTTAAAATTGCCATATGGGTATAAAAAAATCTGCCTTGAAACACTGAATTCCGAAGTTTAAAAAAAATCGTGAAAATCCGTTGAAAATTAAACAATTCAGAGGCAAAAAATTATATTTTATACCAAAAATTGTCCAAAATCCCAAGTTTTAAAGATTTTTTAAAATGTTAGGAAGGGGTTGCTCCCGGAGATCCTTGAGTCCCTGCTCAGTGCCAGGAAGAAGGCTAAGGCAGATCTGAAAAATGAAACAGATCCCTTCAAACAGAAGGTCAGTAATAGGTAATATAGGTTTATATGAGGGGAGTGACTTTTAAAGAAAATATATACCACTGCAGTATTGTCAAGGAATTTACACCAAAACTTCGTTTGAAAGATCTGTACTACAGATTTTGCGAGTTGAAATAATTTTAATGGGGATGTCGTTTTTCTTTTATAAGTGACCCCCTCCCCCATTACAAAGACACTAGTTAAACTTTGATTTGGTATCATCATTTTTTCAGCTTAAAGTGTTAAATTCTGACAATAAAATAGTTTCTGTGTGCAGAAATACGCTTATGTCACTAAATGAACCCCCAATTGAAAATATTTCAATTAAAAAAGAAAAACATCATTTCTTAATCTGACAGAGCTTGTAAGGGTTTAGACATTCCACTCTATTTATGGGAACTAAGTTTACACTCATTTCAATTCTGTTTTCAAGGCTTGGTTTATTCCACCCAGAAACTGCAATACAATATTATTGTTGTCGTTGTCGTTGTCGTTGTCGTTGTCGTTGTCGTTGTCGTTGTCGTTGTCGTTGTTGCTGCATTATTTAAAACAAAGTTTTGGGGGGTTTTCTGGTTTTTGTTGTCTTTACGTTTATTAAGTGATATTAGCTTGATAAAAATTAATTGAAAAAAGCAGAGACCGAATCAAAATGTTAGTTTTATGATTTTATGTGAAGATTTTTTTCATGATACTTTATTTTTTATTGAAATTTATTGAAATTAAAAAATTGATTCATTGTGCGCAATATTGTTTAATTTTTATTTTTAATTCAATATTTTGCATGTTTTATTCTGTCCTAGGTTCTTGATGGTCGGCAGTTAGCATTAAAGATCAGTGCTAACTCTGTATATGGGTTTACTGGTGCCCAGGTGGGCAAACTACCTTGTCTTGAGATATCACAATCCGTCACAGCGTTCGGTAGGATTCATTATTATTCTAAACAGTCTGCATTTTTAGATTTTCAGGGTACATCCCGCCGTTTACCCGCACTTTGTCGGTTTACCGGGAAGCAACATTTTTGCCATGAAATTCCATCCACTTAATATAAGATTCTCAAAACCTAGCGTAGAACATGCCAGTTGTTCTCCCGAGTTCCCCAATCAAAAGTCGAGGCGAATCGGTCAAATGGTTCATAAATTATGATCGGACTTACAAACAAACAGAGATTACAACTTTACATACAGGGTTACCCACAAAGGATGAGACTTCAGAGACGACTATACATAATTTATACTGTATTTCCTTATATTTAGGATTCTCTGCAACTTTAAACTGGTTTCTTTCGTATCCATGTTAATAAATAGGCAACCAAGACAATATGCAAGGCAAAAAATTTAATTTAACCTTGTAATCCTCATATTTTATGAGTTGCTGGTTGTCTTTACAGTCTCATCCTTTGTGTGTAACCCTGTATAGTGTATATATGTATATGCAGGATCTTGACAATGACAGGAAGACATATGAAATAAAGTAACGGTTTTTTTTATCATTTGTTAACGTACGAATGATCTTGCATCGTTCAGACTTAAATCTTCTGTAATAGTCAAAATTTTGCATAATTTTCCTAAAGAAAAGTGATAAAAAAAATAATTACGTACAAGACTTCGAAGATTTATGTAAAGCCTCGTGAAGGCTAAAAATTCTTTATCTAAATAAACTGATAAGATTGATTCCCAACTCTAGGTAGGATGATGATAGAGCATACTAAGACGGAGGTTGAGTCCAAGTATACTGTAGAGAACGGATACGAACATGATGCTAAGGTATATTTTTTAAATCAATTCTCCAATATAACATAAAGGGTCAGGGTCAGGGCCAGGGTCAGAGTGAGAGAATGTTTTTGATAATATTTGCTTTTCTTACTCTATGCAAAGTTTTGGCCGTGTAAAAAAATATATGCAAAAAACGAACCAGCCTAATGCACATCACTACCCCCCACACTCATTATATTTGAAAGTTTTGAAGATGTTATCGCTGAAGTTATTTGGGGAAACAACTTTCTAAAAATAAAGTTTTAATTCATTTTGTCCTCTTTTTCTCTTAAACCTTTAAACTTTTAACCTCCTCCGAAACCTTTTTTTGATTAATATGAAACTCATATAATTAAACACCTCATAAGAGATTTTGTTCAAAAATATTTGTTTCCCCAGATGATAGGGGTTTAAGGATTTTATTTTCTCAAGTTGGGATCGAATATTGATTATTCTTAGGGGAAATTAAATGAATTTTGGGTTTAAAAGTATTAAAAAAGGATGACAAATTTGCCCGTCGATTTGTAAGTTTCATTTTAAAAATCATTTCTTAAAAGATACTTAGAAATATAATCTTGATTAAGTTTTGAATTGATGTTTAGGTTATATACGGAGACACAGACTCTGTAATGGTTAGGTTCGGAGTATCTACTGTAGCAGAGGCCATGAAGTTAGGAAGAGAGGCAGCTGTAACAGTGACTGAGAGTTTTATTAAACCCATTAAACTTGAGTTTGAAAAGGTTTATTTCCCGTATTTACTGATCAATAAGAAGAGGTATGCCGGGTTATATTTCACAAGACCTGAAACCTACGACAAGGTGGATTGTAAAGGCATAGAGACCGTAAGAAGAGATAACTGTCCTTTGGTCGCCAAGATGATGAACAATTGCCTGCAGCAGATCTTGATCGAGAGGAACCCTGATGGAGCCGTGGAGTACGTCAAGCAGACCATCTCCGACCTCCTGTGTAACCGGGTGGATATATCCCAATTGGTGATCACCAAGGAGTTGACCAAGTCTGACAAGGAGTACACAGCTAAGCAAGCCCACGTAGAACTAGCCGCGAAAATGCGCAAGAGAGATCCAGGAAATGCGCCAAAACTCGGAGATCGTGTTCCCTACGTCATTATATCCGCAAGCAAAGGCACCCCGGCCTATGCTAAAGCGGAAGACCCTATTTACGTTCTAGAAAACAATGTTTCAATTGATTTTCAACATTATCTAACTAACATGTTATCCAAACCTCTTCTCCGTCTGTTTGAACCTATACTCGGAGAGAGTAAAGCTGAATCCGTCCTGCTGAGAGGCGAACACACCATGACAAAGACGGTTGTAACGAGTAAGGTAAGCGCACTTGCCGCGTTTACGAAGAAGAAGATGACCTGCTTAGGTTGTAAGGTTCCCTTGGCTGTAGAAACAGATGCTGTTTGTCCACATTGTAAACCCAGGTTAGATTTAAATCCTCATAAACCTTTAAAAAATAATGGATTAAAATCTTTGTTTTTATTTTCGACTCGTTTTTAATTTTTACCATTATCCAGGGAGTCTGAGATATATCAGAAGCATATTGCGGAGACAGCGTCCCTAGAAGACAGATTTTCTAAGCTATGGACACAATGCCAGCGTTGTCAGGTATTTATATCCTTCCTCCCAATAAAATCAGAAAGACCCACGCGGATCACAAAATAAAGGGTTTCCATCACAAAATTATGGAGTCTATATATTTTATTTGCTATGGTAGTATTTTTAAAAATTTAAACCCATCAAATTATACAACGCCGTGAAGTTTTTGGGCAATAATGTTCTCTTTACTGAGAAGGTTTAGGCCCTCGTATGGGCATTCTTCTCTCATGTCGAATTCTAGCTTTAAATCTCATGTAACATAAGATTTTGACTCTCCGCTTCAAGTGCATCTGATCAGAGTTATCTTTTTTTTTCTACCTGAAAATTGATTATTTTTAATTGTGACTAGGGATCAGAATTTGACATTCAAAAGATTACCACGACAATATATTCCTTAGATATAGGTTTAAGGGGTTCCGTTGTAAAAAGTACAGGTCACTTGAAATTACGTCTGCAGGTCCTTTAATTATATTACATTAGGGGAGTTTGCACGAGGAGGTCCTCTGCACGAGCAGGGACTGTCCCATCTTCTACCTCAGGAAGAAGATCCAGTTAGATCTCGGCAACCACGAGAAGGTCGTTAAAAGATTTGGACTTCCGGACTGGTGAAACGCCACTTCCGGTCTGGTGAAACATTACTTCCGGTCTGGTGAAACACTACTTCCGGACTGGTGAAACATCACTTCCGGTTTTATATAAATTCAAGTTTCCAGAAAGTATTTAAACCATTTCATCCGTTTCTGGATTATTTGTAGTTTAAATTGACATAATTCAGAATTTCTTTTCTCAAGTTTTTGAGTGCCTTTAAATTCAAGTTTATTACAAGATTTGAAAGTAAGATTGTTTTTATCAAGATCTGTAGGAGGGGGATTTCATGCCTTTATGTACATATTGAACAATGTACACATTGTATTCAAATTATTTCTTATTTTACTCTGTACACTGCAGTGCATATACCATTGAAATTTATTGTGAGTACAAATTCATTGAACCAGTGTAGAATAAAAAGCACAAACGTATGTATTTTATTTTCATTTTCAGATTATCAACGGCTGTGTTTAGCGTAGTGAAAATGTCTAATTTTAATTTTGATCAACAGTTGACGGATGCGCTGAAATTAGGTCATTTTTAACTACGTTCTTTTGTCAATTTTATTCATTGTTTATTTATTTGTTTGTCAATTTTGTTTATTGTTCATTGTCTTTAAGTTTGTAAATTTAATTTATTGTTTATGTTCTTGTTTGTCAATGTTGTTTATTGTTTATTGTTGTTTGTTAGTTTTGTTTATTGTTTTTGTTTGTCATTTTTTTTTTTTTATTGTTGTTGTTTGTCAATTTTGTTTATTGTTTATTTTTTTCTTTATCAATTTTGTTTATTGTTTTTGTTTGTCAATTTTATTTATTGTTAATTGTTTTTGTCAATTTTGTTTATTGTTTATTGTTTTTGTTTGTCAATTTTGATCATTGTTTATTGTTTTTGTTTGTCAATTTTGTTTATTGTTTTTGTTTGTCAATTTTGATCATTGTTTATTGTTTTTGTTTGTCAATTTTATTTATTGTTTATTTTTTTGTTTTGTCAAATTTTAATGAAGTCGAGGAAAATGTTTGTAATTCCAATTTAGATGATAAGGGGTAATATTTTTAGGGTCTAACAATATGCATTGGAAGATTTACAAGGAAATTGTAAAATTGCCATTTTTTTCAAGTCTTGCAAGTTTTAGCTTTAGAAACCCAATAAAATAAATAATAATTTACAAGATTCCTTTTTTAATTTTTTCTTCATTAATGCCTTTTACTTTCTCTTGCTTTTTGTTTCATTGTTTTTTGTTTGTCATTATTTTTTTTTTAGATTCTACTTTGAATAGTTCCATTTATTTTAGATTCTACTTTGAATAGTTCCATCTCCCGTTTAAGTTTAAAACCAACCTCGAGAGGAAACCTTTCAGGTAAACTGACTGAACAACAATCATCGCAAAATCTGATTTTATATTCACCATATCTTTGCAAGGTTTAACCTTTCTTATTTGGAACTATGTGACTGTAACATAATCCATAGTTTGAAATATCAAAGATTAAAACATATGAATTTGTGGCAATTGTTAATTTTTACAGTTAAATCATGATGAAGTTAAAAATGTACCAATCATTAATTTATTCAAAGCAAATAAAAAGCAACATTGAAAATAGTTTTTTGCGAATTTAGAGGTCATAACTCAGCAAGAGAGGTCGATTTTTTTTATTTAAGCATATGTTAAAAACCGCTAATTACCGTCTTTAATCTTTTGTTTCTTCTATAACTTGTTTGTTTTAAGGCCAAAAATCTAATTTTCGTAGTTGCTCTAACAATACTGTTTTTGTCTTAACCCTATTCCTGTAACATTTCTGATTTCTGTTATATGGAAGAGGGGGGGATGGAGTATTGTTTTTCAATTGTATTTAAGAAAACTTTAGAATTGCTATTTTTCATCTTAAAAGTACACTTAGTTTCACCCTTGTATTAAATTGGTATTTGAACAAAATTACATTGTAATGCTTATTCTTAGGTTCCATTTGATTTTGATGCGGATCCGAATTCGGATTTATCCTGTAGATAAATGGTTACAAATCAAGCTAATAAATATTTTAAAAAAAACTTATGCTAAATGAGTTGATTAACTTGATTTACGTAACAATAATTAGAAAGGGTTTAAAAGTATCTCATTATTTTACAATTGAAACGTATGTTTATAAAGCAAAAGGTTTTTTTTCATTGTTATTGTTGTTATTTACCGCTGATTCCTTTTGAATTTTATCTCTTATTTTTTTTATGTGCAACCATAAACTCTGCTTTGTGGCCCCGACATCTGGTCTTCTTGACCCCCACCCTTCCTAACAATTTTGGCAACCTCGTGTTAGGTTAGGTTAGGTTAGGTTAGGTTGAGATAAATAATAAGTCACGTGAGGGTCCGCATCACCTTGACTCAGATTTTACTGTGTGTGTTTGTAGGAATTGGTTTGAACAGATCCCGCTCTGCTTCCCGTGTATCTCCGTCCCTACTCTCATCCAAACCTAAACAGTTCAGTCGGAGCAAATCTCCTGCTAGATCTAAAACTCCAACCAGGAAAATAGATTTATTAGATCTTTGTTAGTTTTCAAACCAGACATGGGAACGCTTGTAGTGCGGATATCGAGACCAATGCTTAATCTCGATCTTTTGTTAATCTGCAGATTAATTTAATCTTGATTCGATATCCTGCATTGTAATCGTACCCTGTATGAGTTAAAGAGAGTTTTGGTTAAAACGAAGATATGGAATGGTATAGTTTTTATAATTCTTCAAATAAAAAGTGCCCACAGTGGATATCATGATCAAGCGATCGGGATTATGAATATTCAACACAAAGTTTCCCAGTTCAGAACTATTGTGTTTTGAATTACGGGATGAGACATTGATCTGTAAATTTAATTGTGCCCGATATCCTTATCTAGCGTTTAGATCAACAATATACTCCACAGACAAGTTCACACCTCAAGTTTTCATTTTAACCCGTTATTTTGCTAAGTTCAAAATGTTCAATGTTTTAAGCAAAAAATGTTGTGTTCACACTGCTGAAAATGAACCATCAGGATTCAAGTCAAAACACCTAATTTTTTCCTTCGGAAATATATAAATATGCAGGCTTCTGAGTTATAATCTAAATTTTCAGAAAAAGCCACCTAGGGAATTTTAATTAAATCCATTTTAAAGAAATTGTAGAAATCAAGTGCATTTTTAAGCCTAAGCTCAATCATAATTGTAGGTTCAAAGATTTATCAAGATTAATCTGTGTTTTTGTGATATTTTTAGAACCGTTGATAGCATGATCCCCAAATTTTGTGAATTTTCCTTAACAGTCATAAGTTTAGCAAAAAAAATCAAATGAACTGTATAATTACCCAATTACTGGCTAAAAAAGACTTTTTAAAGTAAAATAAATAAAAAAATACACCAAAAAAAACTTTTTCGGGCCGCATTTTGACAGTCAGGCAGTTGACTTAAAGGTTTGATTTTTTGCTACAATAAGTTTCATGGCTGTTAAAGAAAAATAAAAAAAATTTGGAAACCATGTCATATACTAATAAAAAATATCGTCAAAAAACCCAGAAGAAGCAGATTAAAGTCTTGAAACGAAATTTTTGTTTAGCTTGTAACTTAACCTGTAAATGCACTTGATTTCTACAATTTCCTAAAAAGATGATTTGCTCAAAATTCCCTTGGTGGCATTTTCTGAAAATTGAGAATATAACTCAGTAGCCTGCATATAAACATATTCCAAAGAAAAAGTTTAGGTGTTTTGACTTAAAACCTGATGGTCCATTCTCAGCAGTGTGCGTTCTGCACGCATTTACATAATTTATATTTTGATTTCTTTAGAATAAAAAGTAAATCCTAAATTTAAATCAATAATTTGAAAATCCGCAATTTTTTAAAGGAGTTTATTTGGGATAAAAATGTTTTAAGCGTTTGAAAAATCTGTTTTACATAGGATTGGAGTTCCAGAGGTAAGGTTTTGAATTAATATTTTGATTTGTAAAATCCGAAGTTTCATAACGAATAGTGATATTTTAACGTTGATAATAGTGATATTTTAACGTTGATAATAGTGATATTTTAACGTTGATGCAATGAATAAAAAAATTCGAAAACGCGCTTGAAATTATAAAAGCATCGTTTTTCCTTAACAAATTAAATATTTTAGCAAATAGTTCTGGTTTACACTATGCGCAGTGCACAGTGTACAGTGTACAAGCAGTGTTCATGTTCATTCATGTACAGATTTTCAAGGTTTCAATTAAGTTCCATTTCCAACTAACGCCATGTTGTTGTAATCAATAAAGTTTAGAAGTGAAGTACACATTCACAAATTCAAAACTATATGAAAAGTGTTTTTACCGTCGCTATAGTTTACTTTCTAATCCAATGATAATGAAGATGCAATTTATTGACCTTTGGCAGATTGTACATTGTAATTTACATAGTGAAGTATACTGAACAAGGAACATTTGAGTTCCTACCCTATTAATGTACTGTGCATGTGTATAACATTGTACATGTATTGTACAATTTGCATGATGCTTAATTATGCATCTGTACATTTAAGGTTTACAAGAGAAATCAGACCGGAGCTGACAGATTTATTCCTAACCGCAGTACAACGGACATGGAGTTTGCATCTCACAGCCTCGCAACCTCCGAGGAGGATACGGATACTCTATCCTCAACCCAACTAGAGAGAAGGAGGTACCTGGAGGAGAACCTAAACCTTAACAACCAACCTGGAGATTCAAGGATTCTTTCTTTCAAATCAAAAGCTCCGGCTGCCAAGGAAACACGATGAACAATTTTATATTTTATCCTTGAAAAAAAGGAACAAATAAACTACCAATTTTACTTTTAAATGTTTTTTTTCTACAAAAAAATTTCTTCATTACACCTTCATTTTTTCGAATAGTTCACAATTGATAAATGTTCAAAGAATTACTTCTAGTGCATTCAATACAAATTATTTTCATCCTTCTTCTGATTTCTTTTTTGTCCAAACCTTTTTTCTTTTCCCCAGAAATCAGCACTAAAATATAAAGAATGAAAGTTTATACAGAAAAAGGAGACTTCTTGAAATGGAAAAACATACGGTTACCTTGGGTCTTCTCTTATAGAAAATTGATCTTTATCGTGTTAGGACGGATATCAGAACAATATGAAAATCTTGTATTCAGCTGGAAAACCAGCAGCTCCTAAAGCCTCCAATACCAGGTTTTTGAGACAGCAATTTATATTTCTTAAAGGAACTGTAAGCGAAATTTTAAGTTATTCTTTATTCAAAGATGGCAATTCCAGATTTACTACGATACCCCTTAAAGCTTTGCCGGATCAAGTCCCTTAAAACATGTGACTTAATGTGCTTAGCGCGTCCTCGACAAATTTTCCCGATTTAAGGCATTCAACTTCAATTTAAAAGTTTGCAGGGAATATCGAGTTTAGTCGCTGAAGCTAAGCGCTATTACAATCAAAAAAATTTCTTTCTTTTAATTTCTTCAACTCATTTCTCAGGTTCTCCTGTATGTTTATTGTAATGTTATTGTTAACTTTTTAAAAATTTGAAAATACAAAGCTAACAAATGGAGGGAAATTTCTTCGAATTATAATTTTTATATTTATATTTAATATATAGGTACAAGTGTTTAGTACAGCTGGGAGAATCCTATATGCTCCTGATATGATGAATATATATATATATTTAGACAGGTCTCTAGTACAGCTGAGAGAATCCTAGATGCTCCTGATATGATGAATATATATATATATATATTTAGACAAGTGTCTAGTACAGCTGAGAGAATCCTAGATGCTCCTGATATGATGAATATATATATATATTATTTAGACAGGTCTCTAGTACAGCTGAGAGAATCCTAGATGCTCCTGATATGATGAATGACTTCTATCTTCATCTCATTGATTGGTCGAGTCTGAACCATGTTGCTGTAGCGCTGAACGGGGGAATGTATATCTGGAACGCTACGGATGGAACGATCCTTCAACTGTTCCAAGATGAGGAGGAACAGTATGTTAGTAGTGTTAAATGGGTTAAGGTTTGTACATCGGTTTAAGAATTTTATTTTTTCATTTTTTTTTTAAATTGGTTAGTTCTAGGGAGCGGGGCTGGTAGGTTGGACCTAGATTAAAATTTTTCAGACTTTGGGACTTTTTAATAGATCTAATTTTAAACCAGTAAATCACTGCGATATCTTACAAAGTCGAGTCTAATTCTAGGGCTAGACTAGACAATTAAATCGAGCCCTGAGAAATCGTATTTTAAAACTTCACATTATCTAATTCTAGAATTATTTAATTATTTCACTTTATGATGGCGAAATGCAAGTTTCTAAAAGTCTGATTTGAATTTTTGGTTTTTTTTCCTAGGAAGGAAACGTGCTGGGAGTGGGGGACAGCGAGGGGAACGTTCAGCTCTGGGATGTTGCAAACACTAAGATTATCCGAACTATGCGAGGGCATTCTGGACGGATTGCAACCATGGACTGGAACCAGCATATTCTGGCTAGCGGAGGCAGGGAGGGAGATATTCATCTTCATGATGTTAGGATAGGAGATCATCATGTTGCTACTCTTAGAGGACATTCTCAGGTATACAGGGGGGAGGGGGTGGTATTGTAGAAGTATGAACTTCTGTACTTTAAATATTCTTTTTACTGCATGTATATTGTATATTGTACATTGTACATTGTACATTGTACATTGTACACTGCTGTATTAAATGTTTACTAATTTGATAATACTGCATAAATTAGAAAGATTAAAACTAAACAGTTCTCTTCTCTTCTTTCTTCTATTCTCCTTTTCTCTTCTCTTCTTTCTTCTATTCTCCTTTTCTCTTCTCTTCTCTTCTTTCTTCTTTTCTTTTCTCTTTTGTTCTGTTCTGTTCTGTTCTGTTCTGTTCTGTTCTGTTCTGTTCTGTTCTGTTCTATATACTACTACAACGTATCCTAAAGATTGCATCATCATACATACTTCTTTATACTTCTATATACTAATACAACGTATCCTGAAGATTGCATGAGCATGAAACATAATGCTGATACAATAAAAATATAAATCATGTGTTGAAGACATTTTTCTTACAACTACAAAGTATGTACTGTAATGTATTGTGTACAGGAGGTCTGTGGATTAACCTGGTCTCCTCATGGTAACTATCTGGCTAGCGGCGGTAACGATAATACGGTTCAACTGTGGGACCCGGCGGTTCTCCGCCCTATCAAGAGTATAACGGAGCACTTGTCGGCGGTGAAAGCTGTCTCCTGGTGTCCATGGCAGGCGGGTGTGTTGGCTACCGCCGGCGGTACAATCGATAGAACTATCAGGTCAACAGTTTTATTTTTTACGCCGTTTGTGAGTTTTTTTTTAATATAACCCAACCAACTAAGAAATAAACAAAAAGACCAGCAAATATAGTAATAAAGTAAGCACTATGTGTATTGTATGATATGTATTCATAAGATCAGTTCTGAAAGAGGGAGTGAAAAATATTTTTGGTTTGATCTGGATTGAAAATAATTTCAAAGACTTTTACGTCTTCAGACCATATATCGTTTAAAGAAGATTTTCTTATTATTTTTTAAGTTTTTTAAATCCATGTTTTATTATATTGTTTATAGGTTGTGGAATACTGCAAACATGACCCAAATAAACAGTTTAGATACAGGTATACAAATATTTGAATATGAAACATATCATGGATCTCAAGTAACACTAGGCTTTGGGGGCGCGCCTCCTTTCCCATTAATAATTTCAACTTTTGACAGTGCTCAGAAAGTCGTCATTTAATTTTTCTCTCAATTTTTCGCGCTTTTTTTGTTTTCGTTCATTTTCTAAAATAGTAAATGTCGACATATCTTGGCTTCTATAATACAAGGAAATAAATGATAAAGATCGATTTGAAAACCAGAAATATTAGAGGCACTTAAAACTCCTTCTTATAGCAATCACTAAAAATTGATTTGATTTGATTTGATTTGATTTGATTTGATTTGATTTGATTTGATTTGATTTGATTTGGTTTGGTTTGGTTTGGTTTGGTTTGGTTTGGTTTGGTTTGGTTTGATTTGATTTGATAGTTAGTCGCCAATGAGTCAGTCCTAGTAGAAAGAGAAGCTAAGACAATATATTGTATATACTAGTCAAATGTAAACAATAACAATAGCGATAATATTGCGTACTGTATAAATAAATGGGAAGCTGTCCATTGTGAACCTACCTCCACAATATACAGTGGTAGGCGATTATATCAATACAATGAAGACGACTTTCGGATTTAATTTTGATTTCGATTCGCTGTTAAACAGCATGGATACACATAAACATAGAAGTCAAGAGAAGCTTTCAATTAAAATGCTTCTCTTTTTTTATTATTTGTATAAACTAGTAATTCGAAAAAAGCTTGTTGACCATCAACACTTAAATTAAAAAGTCGTCTTCATTGTATTGATGTATTCGCTTACCACCGTAGACATCTTGCCACGCCTCCACCTGGTGGTATCTCTTCATCATAAGTTTTGGAGGCCGGGTGGAGGTCGCTCATGGGCGGCCTAGGTCTCCCATATCAAGGGTTTTTAAGATTTAACCACTTATTCTTATATATGATGAACTTATTTATTTTTCCATGCATTTAATCCTAGGTAGCCAAGTATCCAGTATAGTCTGGAACACGGAGTACAAGGAACTAGTGTCCGGACACGGATTCAGTCAGAACCAACTCACAGTTTGGAAATATCCTAGTCTAGCCAAGGTGAATAATAAAACCATTAAATTTAGCTCAGATTTTCTTCTTAAAATTTTATTTAGAGAAACTGTGCACTGGTAATTTCAAGTAAATCTCTATTTATGGCGTGGAATGTCTGATTCACAACTATTTATTATTTTTAAATTTGGTGTCTCTTGTAATTGGCTTGCACATTTTTACTGTAGAAACAATTTAAATCTTTTCAAGATATAAAAATGATGATATCTTTCACATTATTGATAAGATAAAGGAGAATTGAATAGAAGGAGGGGGGGATAAGGTTTCCGTACACTTTGCTGTGACGTTTTTGGACTGCTGAAGAACTAGTTTTTGCGTAACAACAATAACAAAGGCAGCCGATCTAATGTAAACAAACATGAGTTAGTATACGGTGAATCTTCATCTAACGCCAGAGATGTGCCAGATGTCTGTTTATTATTTGTGTTATTGTTTACAATCTTTATTATTGTTGTTACGCAAAAACTAGTTCTTCAGCAGTCCAAAAACGTCACAGCAAAGTGTACGGAAACCTTATCCCCCCCTCCTTCTATTCAATTCTCCTTGGATAAGATAAAGGTTGAAAAGGTACTGTTTTAAATAACTTGAAACCCAGGGAACAAGATTTTTATTTCATACAATCCTGCTTAGGTTTTAAATCCTTGTGCACTGTTCTGTGGTGTTACACTAAAGGGGTTTCAAGTTAAAAAAATGTCTTACATTTTTATAGGTCTACTTGGATTTACTAGATATATGGCAATAACCCCCGCTTACCATAAGGATAATCTTGAAGATTTTTGATAGTGATCCCAAATGTGTACGCTCTCGCACAAAAATCTATCAGGGTTTTGTCAATTACTCCTTCCAAAATTTCTAAAATGTATATTACATGCCTAAGGCTTTAAAAAATAAAATTGAGTCTGTATGGCAAAATCTAAGGTCAAAAGCTAAGCGGATCCGAACTTTAAAATTGATGCATGATTTTCATATCTGTTTGTATATCTGTGATATTGATTAATCTGTTCTCTAGGTTACTGACCTGAATGGACACACTAGCCGAGTTCTACTTCTAGTTTCATCACCAGATGGAAGCAGTGTCGCTAGTGTAGCAGCTGATGAAACCATCAGGTTCTGGAATATCTGGCCTCGCCAGGTTAAAGAGAAGAAACCTCTTGGAAAATCTGGACGCAGCCATCCTGTTTCTCTGCTGGCACAGAGCATTCGATAATACTCATTCAGTTCTCTTAAATTTGAAAATAATATTTTATCTTTTCCTCTTCTCTCCATTCTCTTTCATTCTCCTACCCCCTCCCCTCTTGGCTGTTCCTTCTCTCCCCGCCTCTCGTGTCTATTCCTTCTGTTGTGTTATTTTTAAAACCTTTCCAGTTTTCTCGTCCCTAATATCTTTCTCTGTCTGTCTCTAATTGCATTCCCAAAATGCGCTAGAAAAAATATTTTATTTAAATTTTTGTGATCTCATTAATTTACGCTTATAAACTCGACTGAAAATAAATATTTTTACAGTACCAGTATTAAATGTCTCGTCTGTTTTTTAGTGTATATAAATATTTCTAAAACGACCAACTGCACCGCCATCGACCCAGAGACATTTCTCAAACTTATCCTTTGCAATCTAAAAGATACAAATATTAAAATATTTCTTTAGATAAAGAAGTTACAGGGTGATTTTTTCAACAAAAAAAAACTGATCCTGGTTCAGCCCTTGAAACAAACCAAAGATACGGTTCCAGTCCGGATCTTTTTTTCTAATAAGTTCGGATATTTAAAAATGGAAGCCGTCGGAAGTGCCAGATTCTATATATCCATGGACTCCGACAGGAGATATGAAAAATTTGACTTAATATCCAGTTCCTAGGTCATCAAATTAGTGTACATGCAAAATTATCACCGGCTACCACTATATTTGTCTGAGAAATTGAAAAATGTATATAATTATTAACTTTTTTGATGAAATGTAAAATGTTTAATTTTTTTTCTTTTTTTATGTTATTTTATGAAACTTGATGGACCATTCAGGGTTTGGGAAGTTTTTATTAATCTCATAAGATAACGGTTGGACAAGGTTTTGGTTGATATTTTGCCCCTTCCATACGGATCCGTGAATCCGCATATTTTTGATGATCTGGATCCGGGTCCTAAGCACTGCTTTCCTCTCAAACACTGCACTGGTTGAGTCGAGATTATTTAATTAGGTTGGTTATGCGCTCCAATGTTCGGAAAATGTCTCCTTAGAATAGATAGATAGAATCCGCATACGACGTCACTGATTATAGAAGCGAGCAAGACGTCATATGCGGATTCTATTTAAGCGAAGGAGACGACATTTTCCATACATTAGAGCGCATCCAGAGTAACCAACCTTAAGTCAATGGGTAGGATTATCAAACCTGTATTAATTCTTAATCCTAACTTTTAAAAGAAATTCTTAACTGAATCTAAAATGTTGCAAATTTTAATGTTCTTAAAGAGTAGTTTTATGCAAGATTGCAATGAAAATTGTTAAGTTCTTTGCAAATTCGTAGATTTCCAAGATTTCTTTATAAATGGCGCGTTTGTGAAAATGTTAGTGACTATCAAATAAGCTTGAATTTTTTTAATCTTATCTGCGTCAAAAACAAGTTTTTTTCTTTTTCACAAACAATTACTGTCCTTATTGGTGCAGTGTAATGGTACTACAGATAAGATAAGACAGTTATGGACTCGGTATAGTGTATTATATATATTCAATTATAATATCTATGACCAACAATAGTTGTTTAGAAACAAAATTTGATGGAACTATTTAAATATTATTTGTTATTTTTTATAATTTCCCTCTGCTTATTTTTAAACACAAAAAAGGGTTGCTAACAAAGAAGCAACTTCAATAATTAACCTAGAACTCTTAAAACTCTGAGATTTGACAGTTTTAGTGATTAAAACACTATTAAGCAGGCTTATTAATCATTCTAAGCTGAAAACTTTAGAATCGTGGATATCAGGATTAAGGCTTAAACCACTCTTTTTCTTAATATCCAGTTTAAGTAATGCTTGTTCTCCACATGAATTTAAACTCCAGAGAAGCTAATCGATCGGATATCTGGATATTTCATTCTAAAGTTTTCAGCTCAGGTATTTTAAAAGTGTAGTCCGTCTTTGTATTTTAAATAATAAAAAATCGAGTGAACTTCTCGTTTCTGGGAATATAATTTAACTATCCAAGAACCTAGTAAGGATTGTTTTTATAGTGATATGTCTGATTTACAACGGAACCTCTCATTTGATCTAGGATGAATTAGATATCTTTTTTTCTGAAAATTGATTTTAAATTGTGGACTTTCTGATCTTTGATGCAGAGGCAATAAAGAAAACTTTAAGAATAAATCAAATTTTAAGAAGAATGAAGATATCTATCTTATTGTTACTCAGCTAGAGGTTAAAATAAGGTACCACAATAAAACCGACATTCCATGTTGAGGTTAACTTTAAAACCATTAACAGATCTGTCAAAGAAATTAATAAGGTAAAAATGTAGCAAAGAAATCTTAGACAATTTCATGTTAAAAACAACAACAACGATTTTATTTAGAAATCTGAATTGCAAAATGGTCATGACAAAAAAGATTGAGCTGGCAGCGCAGTGGCAAATATGTAATTTAAAAATTTAATTTGTTTATTTAGACAATATTTGAAATTATAAGGTCTAGTGATTTGACACATTTAAACTTTCCCTAACACTGAGATTTAATACGACATGCATTGTGGGGGGGGGGGGTATCATTGTTAATCTTTATGAATAGTTAATTCTAGAACTGCTAATTAATATCTTTGTTTTAAAGATATAGAGCGAAACTTTATTTGTCGTGGTTTGATTTCGAAGAGAAAGTTTTGATCTTAAGTTAAGAACTTTTAAAGGATATAGTTAGTTAATCTCTAGTTTAAGCAATTGCTTAATGGTGAAACATCCGTTATCGGGATCTGAGGATTTAAGCCCCCTCCCCTACTTAGAATATTTTGTAATTTTGGTATCATAACTATTGCAATTTTAGCTTGAATTTGATGTTTAAAAGAAACTTTTATAATTTTTTATTTGTTAAAGTTTTAGTTTGAATTTGATGATACAGACTTTCATATGCAACTCACTAATTAAAATCAAAGCAAGAGTCTTACAGTCTAAAACTGGATTATTTGGTTGTATGACCTAAAGGTTCGATTCAACTTATTGGTTTCCACAGTGTTTTTATTCCTAAATTTTAAGTTGGTTACCGTATATCATATTTCACAGTTCAAAAGATGGAAGCGATTGATGTAATTGTTAATATCGTATCCATCAGCAAATATTTTGCATCATTTAAAAGCTAACTTTTTTAGAATTAAAAACATCTAGGAGATTCTTTCGGAGTCGAAAAAAAATATTTAAAAAACACTTTAATTCTTAAAAATGTCCCATTTTTATTAAAACAAACATTCAAACCAAAAAAGTTAATCTTTCATTAAAAAAAACTTATGCTTTTAGCTTTTAATAAATAAATTCAAGCTTTAAATGAACTTATGTAAACTAACCTTCGGAATCTGAAATATCATTGAAATATTTCTATTGTTTTTAAACTTTAATCAAATGGTAAACATTTTAGGTTTTTATTGTTACTAAGAACCAATATTAAACTTCAAACAGAATTTGTTTTGAGCGTCTATTTGCCTGCCTATCAGAATTTTATCATACTTTGCCATCTTGAAAAACATGATTTGATAAAATATTTATTTAAAGAACGAAAAGTAATCTTCTGCAAATTTGCTTTGTCATGATTCACTGGGTTGCTGGAGTCCTGGATCTCAAAAGTCACGCAGTTTAGTAAATTAAACCAACTGTTTTCAGTGTGCCCTACCCTTCCCTACACACCTTACTTCAATACAATTTAAGTAATTAAACCAATAAACCCCAATTTTGTTTGTAAATAAAAGAATTCTTAATAAAATCGTAAGTATTGATTGAACCGTATTTAATTTAACAAAAACGGTTGTCACAAGGAAAAAATTAAAAATTATTTGATTTTTTAGCTCAATCCTAACTAGCTACATCTATTCCGGCTTAAAATGGCCGACTATTTAGAAAATAAAAAAAATAGGTTAACAAGCGTTATTTCAATATATTTCCTTGCTACAATATTACATACAGTATAAATGCTAACAAATGTATTTACAATACGTAGGAAAGTTAATATCCATACTCCAAGAGCCGGAATTTTTCAACCGAACGATAGTAATTTATTTAAGTTCGATGACATTGAGATTTAACCATTAAAGTCTTGCTTCGTCGATACGGTTGGTTAAGTAACAAAACGGCAGTGCTTGGTTTTCAAATTTCTAGCTGCATGATTCTGAAACATGAGCAAATGAAATAGATCACTTTTTCGAACTGAATTTTAAGGGATTTAGATATCCCTGGGCTTTGGACATCAAATTTTTTGTTCATAAGAATTTTTACAAGGCTGCGCCTCTTTTTCTCTAATTTGGATGAAGTAATCTTCGAAAAATTGCGGGATTGAAAATCCGCACCATTTTTTCCACAAATGCGGGATTAGCATAATTTCGTGGATTTTCGACAAAAATTCGGGTGAAAATACAGTTTGGATCGATTTTACTCTCTTATCCCCGAGCGGGAATGGAACTGAAATGCATTTCTTGATCTTCTTTTGCTTCAGGATTTTGTTCAGGTTAATTGAAGTTGTTAATTTATAACTAGACACTGGATTGCTTCTGGGAACTGAATTTATTTTTTATCAATCATTGAAATTGTGAGTTTGGGGGAGTTGAAACAGGTTTGAAGGATTATTGGCGCCGGCTTCTATCGTCATCAGATTCGCTGGTTGTATCATTTCCAGATTTATCCTCTGGGCGTGGTTGGTAGGCGTGGCGACCAAGTCTGTCATACAGCTGAAACAAAAATTCGTTTAATTCTAGGTAAGCTATAAAACAACAACACTATCTTAGATCTTTTAAAATGGTTCCCACCCCTTTCCCGTTCTTGTTTACAGAATTGTAAAGTATTCGCAGTTAAAAAGAAATATACCAATTCTTGAAATACAATCTTTAACCATGAAATAAGTTTGCACAGTTTTTCAATGTAGAATTTATCAGAATGTTTAAGCTTGTATTTTAATCTGATGTGCAATACTAGGAAACAAAGACATAAGAATATTATGTTTTTTACAATTCTGTATTCAATAGAACCCGGAATAGCATGGAATGGAAGAACAACCTTTGAATTACATTTCTTGTTGTACAATACCGTTAAATTATTCTAAGGTTTTGGAAATTTACTATAATGATATAAAAGATAAATAATAAGCAACAATATGAAATTTTCAAAAAAAAAATTATGAAAACAAAAATTTGCTTTACCTCTCCCTGTGGCGCGTACTGTGGACCGTACATACCAGCGTTGTACAAGCTTCCATTGGACCGTGCTATCTTACTGTTCTTTCCATAGGTATCATAGAAGTTAGGCATTCCCCATCCTTCCTCTTGGTCATCTTCATAGTAGTGAGCATACGTGGATCCGTGTTGAGATGGAGCTATGGACTCTGCGTATGGAGCTGGTGCTCCGTAGTAGAAATTAACCTGGGATCCGGCCATTTCTCCGGCTTGTTGGAGGAACTTCTCATTGGATCGTTTACTCTTGTTCGATCTCACGCAGATCATCCAGACAAGTAGGACGAGAAGGATAACGAATAGAACAGCTCCGGCAATTCCTCCGGCGATGTAGGCAAATTCAGACTTCTCCTCGCACTGCTTTCCGGCAAAAGATCCGGCGCATTGGCAGTAGGGTTGACCAAGGGTGGTTCTGAGACAGATACCGTCGTTCCGGCAGAATCCTTCGCATGTATCAACGCAGGAGTTAGGTCCGATTCCAGTTCCATTGTATCCTAGTTTACAGGTGCAGGTGAAATCGTTGGGAAGTTTGAACTGGCATCTTGCATTTCTGTCACACAGTTCTGGTTCTCCTTTCTCTACTTTGCACCGGTTGGTGCACTGGTCTACGGAGGTAGCTCCGAGCTCTACAGTGCTGGTATCTGGCGGGCAGTCCAGACAACTGGTCTGCTGACCCTCCGGCTGGTATTGTCCACGTGAGCACAGCTTGCAGGAGTTATCAACGGCGCTCAAGTATTCTCCAGGTATACAGATAGGTAGGTTACAGTCGGATTGACTAACCGAACCTGCCTTACTTGTAGTCCTACCCTGAGGACACTCCTGGCACTCCCTGTGTATTCCCTGAGTCCTGTAAGTTCCAATTGCACAAAGTCCACATTCTTCGTTGAGTCCCAATTGTTCTCCGTCCAGACAATCCTGACGACACTCGTCGCTTGAGATTGCTTTCTTGGTTCTGGTGGTGAGACCAACGGGGCAAAGATCACAAGTGAATTTTCCCTCTTCAGACTGGAACCTACCATGCCCGCAGGGTCTGCATAGATCTGTTACTTTATCATAATAACTGCCAGGGGAGCATTTCTCCTTACATTCCGCACTAGATGCTGCTCCAGTACTCTCGGTAACTCCTTCAATCCCCTGGATAGTCGGACACCTGATACACTCCTTCTGAGCAAACTCAGGGTTAAACTGTCCGACTGGGCACTTTGTGCAGACACGGCCTCCGGCGTCAAAAAAGGTCCCGGGAGGGCAGGGAACACACTGGTCGTCAACGACCACCTCGCCAGAGTTACATCTGAAGCTCTGCTTGAAGGAGATGGAGCTGGGGTCGAGTAGGGTGCCGGGAAGGGTATCACTGACAGCCTGAAATATAGATATTTTATTTATGGTCCAATGACACTTGACTTGAAGGCTTAGTCATTATTATTAGAAAGAGGGAGGGGCTTGAAGGGTGCGACGCCTGTGAAGATAATATTTTGCCTTATTCTGAACTTTTTTACAGTGTATTTTCTTTATAAAGCATTTACAAGAATATTTTTTAAGATAATTTATTTTTTTAACAGAGAAGCTGTTCGATATTCAACTTATAAACAAGAGCACAAGTTTGTCTCCATGTTTGATTTTAATTGAGTTTAACGGTACTACAGATTTAGGTACGATTTGAATTATTAAAAAAGCACAATTTGCATTTTAATATATAAAATAATTATTACTAATAAATGGCAATGAAGCAATGAGAATTATGAAATGTTTTTTTATCAAATATTAAATATTTTATAACTAGATGTTTGCGTGTTTGTAAGTTAAGTCCGTTATTACAGATATATATATATTTCTATAAAAATAATATAATTGTAATTATTTTCATGGTTGGGTTCTCTCTAGTTCACAGATCAACAAAACAAAACATCTATGGCGTCGTTAAAATTAATGAAAAGGCGGTATTTACAAATACCAAGATGGTGGAAGGTTAGACGGGGGGGGGGGGGGAGGAAATAAAGACAATGATCATGTATTCTTAAGAATGTTTTAGAATAATTTGATAGACCAATGAAATGTTTTATGTTTAAAACCATTCAGATTTTGGATCAATCTTTGATCAAAATGCTGAGAAACCTTGATTTAAAGATGAAAACCTCGATATCGAATTAATGATAATCTAACATTTATAATATTACAATTGATCATGTAAAACGTAGAAAAGAAATGGAGTCTTTGCCTCAAACTCAAATTTCCTAATCTTAATGTTTGCCATATGAACATGGAATATATTTGATCTAACAGATTTCATAATTTAAAAAATCTTAGTAGACCTAAGACATTGGGTTGCAAAGATATAGGGATTAGAACATCAGAGTTTGTGTCAAAATATCAATTCATTTTATCTTTAAAAATACAAATTTACTAATTTAATCTCTGTAAGAAATTTGTAAAATGGATATTTTAACTATACAAAAAAAATTATGTATTGTAAAAAGGTTTATCTTAAAAACAAAAACTTTCGTCTTTTTTTCTATTTAGTACTTACTCCCCAAACAACCGTTTTATATACATTTTTCTTCAAACAATCAAGGTACTCAAAAAAAACGAGAAAAAAAATAATTGAACAATAGAGTAACTATGTACAGTGATAACCAGAAAACTCTGAATAGTAAGACGGCTTTGAGAATCAAGTTTTAACTTTAAAAAGTTCAATAACCATGAAACACTGCAATTGTGCAGTGTAAACGGTCTGTTTCACAAAAAAATGTAATATTACAAGTGTCTGCTAAAACTATTTGCCTTGTAACACCATAAAATACAGTAAAATATTGCTATAATGTCGTCTTCCTATTCCATTGTTTTCTGGTTATCACTGTATATAAGTTTACGACAAGGTTTGCTGATACCGTTGCAAATATGTTAAAAACTATTTAGATGTAAACAAAAACTTCAAATGAAAGGTTTATTAAGTTTTCAAAGACTGAAGATAGCTGTTTACGTTTCACGTGGGAAGGTGAGGGGGGGGAGGATTAGACCTTTGTAGTTTTCCGATGTAAATAAAGCTCAGACAGAAATTTCAAAACATGTTTTTGATGATTTTATTCTTGTGCGTTTGATAAAATTCTTTCAACCCTTCTGGTATTTATGTTAAGTTTTTCATTTAAAATTTCCAAAGGAACTGTCTTCTTGCAGGAACAAACTAATATTTTCTCATACCAATATCTTGGCAACCTGATGGTGTGAACCTTTGATATTTTAAACTTATGCTATTTGATAAGAATTCACAATGTTAAATTTAACTTGTTTTACATCAACGGGATTCTAAGATTAGAAAGAGTTTGTGGCAAGAACTCAGTTCCTTTGAAATCTTTTCATGAAAATCATAACAATAACTAGCATATAGACGGACTAAAGAACAACATTACTCAAATTAGAATTGTACAAGAAGAATAAATTGAAAAGATTTTTATTAAGATTTAATGATCTTACCAAATTCTCATTCTCAAGAAGAAGAGATTGTAGCAGACTTTCTATTCTCTCAACTCGTCCATCCGCGTTCGTTGCTTCGTCCGAATCGACGGGAAATGAAAGTTCAAAATCGTATTTTTGCTCCTGATCATTTAACTGTTTTCCCTCCCGCGGGACGGATTCTTCTCCGGCTGCAGTTAAAGCACAGACCAGGAGAAATCCTAAACTAAACTTACAAGTCCTCATTATATTTAACTATTTAACTAATGTACTTAATTTCAATATGTGCACGCTATCTGCTGCACATGTAACTATGTGTGGGTGGGGCGCGTAAAGAAGGAGGATTAACAACGTGCGTGCACCAACTCCGTGCTTGGTTGACGGTTTACTGGTTGAGTAGGACAGGTAGAGCTGGGTTGGTTTGCCTTGCGCGCTCTCCTTCCTTACTTCTAGCTTGGAACCTGTACCCCCACCCCCTTGCACCTAAACCATAGGAGTAGTGGGTGGCATGGATGAAGGGGGGGGATAAAGCTTGAAATGTGGGTTGAGTTTAGGTGGGATGCCTTGAAAATCAGGTAAAATCTAATTCATGCATGAGTTCTTGTTTTATCCTAATGGTTCAGTAACTTGCTTTTAATTATTCTGTAAACATTAAAAGATATTATCTAGCCCTGAAATTCTTAAATATGCATTAGAAATTTTATGTTTTCCAATTTTATGTTTTCCAATTTTATGTTTTCCATTTTTAAGTTTTCCTATTCTATGTTTTTCTTTTCTATGTTTTCCTATTCTATGTTTTCCTATTCCATGTTTTCCTATTCTATGTTTTCCTATTCTATGCTTTCCTATTCCATGTTTTCCTATTCTATGTTTTCATATTTTAAACAGAATTTAATTGAAGATTTTTATTAGCAGTACCAATGTCTTAATTCTAACACATGCTATGTTTGCAAAAGAATCGAAGAAAGCAAAGACATTTTTACAAAGAAAAGACTAAAAATATTAAAAAGAGTAAAAGATAAAATCAAACATAAAGGATGCCGAAAATCGGCGCAAATTGAAAAGATGCTTAAAAATTAGCATTTTATGTAGAACCTATATCTTTTTCACAACCAATGAAGCATAATTTTTTTTTAACATTACAAATAAATCTATAATTTTTATTTCTAAAAGTTGTTAGTTCATCGTCGAAAAATACTAACAATCCACCAACAATTTATATCAAATATGGTGTAAACAATAAATATGTAACTTTCCTTATCCTTTCCTTTTCCTTTTATTTATTTTATTTTTTAGAATTAGGGGAAATATTCCCACAACTTCTATTTTTGGATGTTTTTCAAATATTTTCTCCTAAAACACTTAGTTTTGTATGTTTTTGTTATTTTTCATAAATAAATAATGTCTTACTTACTTACTTACTTACTGTTTTATGTGTTTCAATTCAATGATATCCTATTTTATGTACATTTTTAATAAATCTTGGTTTTCCGTTGTTACGCTTTTTAATCCAGTCCGACCAAATCATGGCAAACTAAATCATATAATCTGTGATTATTTAAAATATATGGATACAAAATCAATCAAATAAAATCAAATTATATATTTTTATTTTCGCAGAAATATAATATTAAATAACATTATTACATGGGTAAATAAATGCATGCTTAGTGTCTGGTGCACTCCTCCTATAACTGTTTTCGTATCAGCTCCCCGTAGTTGTTCAGGAAAAAAGATAAGAAAAAATATAGATATAGGTTTTATTATTTTTTATCCTTTATGGATACAATTAGATCATCAGATCCTGATGTTAAAATTCGTCATTGATGTATCATCCTTTGCAGAATTTCGAAAATAAATTGAGGATTTTGAGTTATGACGAATTATGGTCAGAAAATAAAGTAACCAGAATTTTTAAGAATTAAAACCTTATTCTGGAGACCTCAACTTCTGAATAGCGAAGTATCGTTAAGTTAATTAAGAGGCTGTTCCGTTCAGCATTATTACGGAGACTTTAACGCATTTATAACAAGGTATCGTAAAATAATCCCGATTATATATATCATTTTGGAGAGTTAAACTCTATAACTGCACGGCATCGTAAAAGGGTAGATTATGAATCAGAGATGTTTATTTATATATTTACATATTTGCGGCGGCTAATTAATTCTATACGACTGCCAACCCTCCTTGTTAAACAGTTATATATCCTATAAATATACACATTTAGGAAATATATCAGGAATTACAGGGGTTTACAAAAATAAAAAATACTGCAAACTAGACAGAAGTTCAAATTTATGCAAAATCACTGGTATAACTTTGAGACCTCGTAGCTCATATAGTTTAGATTGTCTGCCCAAGTCTGAGAAAATCATATTCATTCGGACACACAGTATAAAATTCAGAACATTTTTGTTCTTCAAAATAACTCTTTTGTTCAATTTTTGAAGGAATTTATCACACCTAATATTTCCCGTTTAAGGGTGATTAAGTGACTTTATTGCCCTACAACAGGGCAAAAAAGTAACAACTTTGCTATTAAAATTTCAAATTTCATACCTAATTTTTCTCATTGTAGGGTGATAAGTTACTTAATCACCCTACAACCTGCTTTTAAATAATTATTTGAGTAAAATTGAATAAAACTACATACGTACGGTGTGAAAATACTTATATTTTGATCTTACACAAACTAAAAAAAAATCCGGCAAAAACTTTTCCGCACTTAATTTATGCCATATAAATAGATACAATCACAGGTGTTATGATCGAAAAAACATATATATATAATGTCTATTAATATATATATATGAATATTTATCAAGAAAATGCGCAAATATCTGTAGAAATTCCTTTTAGTGACCATTTTAAACCTATCCTTGGGCCCGCGGTCATTGGACTTTTGTATAAATTCCATTTGGATAAATATGTACTTCTTAAACTTCATAGGACTGCCAAACAAACAGAAATTGTATTACTTTATATACAAATTCAAACTAAAGTGAAATATTATATGTAAAGAGCTATTGAAAAGAATTTGAATTTCTAATATGTAATCGAATTAATTTGCTTTATATAAACAAAATATAAACTAAAAAGATTATTTACATTTCTGTAATTCATCCTTGTTCCTTATAACTCTGGAAGTATGTTTCTTGATGTTTAAATAAAACTTCTGATGAATCCAGGAAATGAAATAGACTTAATGAAGTTCCTATTGTCATTATATGCTCAATCTTGAAATTGAATATTTTATTTAAAATCTTTAACATTAAGATTAAACCAACATTAGTTTTAGGAAGTATTTAGGCAATTATCAAATTATTACGAACTGACTAGCTAAGCAGGGGCGTACATAGGAATTCGTCCGGGGGATCAGGTGGGGGTACAGCCCCGTCCCCATAATTTTAATTTATCCAGAGGGGGGGGGGCTCAGCCCCCACTGTGAACACCCCTGACCGAGTACATAATTTTTAAACCGTTAAGCACTATTATGTGAGCGTAATTGGGGAAAATATCAAATTGCTATATAAACTATTATACATCTTTGACGAATTGAGTTTTAACCATCAAATTCAAATTTACTATAACTTTGCAATATGATGGTGTAAACATTTTATATTTCTAACTTAGATTATTAAATCTAACAGAATTAATAGTTTTAAATATTTATGGTTTACAACATTGGGTTGCAAAGAAATAGGGAATAGAAAATCAGAGTTTGGTGCAAATACTCTTTTCTTTATAATATTTTTCTTTAATACATAATTCTAGTCAAATCGTTCATTTTTTCATGTTTTTTCTTTCTTTATTTGTTCCATTATTTGTTCCTAAAATCAGTGTTAAATCCTCAAGTCCTGAAACACCGGATGAACACGTCTTCACCAATCATCGGTAGAAGAATAGACCAGGAGAATTTAAACCCCAATTTCCTTGAAAATGATCCTGAGCACCCCCCCCCCCATACACTATAATTTGTACAAGAACATAAACATCTATTATTCCCCCTCCCCATCATCCTCAACATTATCAAGGTTTAGATAATTCCGCAGATTTGTATCTTTTCTACTTTTAACACTTTCAATAAACCTTTCTGATCAGCATTGAGGAAGAAATCTTTGATTTTCTATCGTAAAACTTGTAAAATATTTATTGATTTTATTCCCTCTCTCAGCAGCATTAATCCGAAGGCCAGAACAGAACCATAATTGAAAATTATAAATTTTTTGACGGAACAACATGAATGTCATTTTTGCTTAGACAAAGCACACCCCGGACTAACCAGAGTTAGAGGCATTCGGTAAGTACAACCGGTTGCAGTCAAAACATAAACAAACAAAATGTAAACATAGCAGACGAAACTCTTACAGATTACAGCTTTCTCAGTAGGTATCACTATACTAAATCAAAGAATTATTCATAAAGACGATATCGAATTCGTCACTGAATTCCCATGTTTTTTGGGACACCCTGTATGAATTCTGTTTGATCAAAGCGTCTAAATTTTTAGATATCTAAGGGTTACACCATCAGGTTGCAAAACCATAGGGATTAGACAATTTTAGTTTTTGGCGAAGACTCAATTCCTTTAATTGATACAATACACAATAAACAGTAATTTTGTTCTATTTAAAAGTAAATAAATGATACGAATGAAAGAATGATAAATGTAAGATTTTAACGCGCTGCCATTTGATTCAAAGGATTGAATTGAAAGCTAACAGATGGTGTAAAAACGGGATTGTACAACGGTATAATGGACTCAGATAGAACGGATAGGAGAAGAACGTCGAAAATGCAATGAAACGAAAAATTTAAGTATTTTCAATGGAATATCAATTAAACTTTTTTTGAAATTTTTTATTTTATATTCCCTATATGTTTGCAACCTGGAGGTGTACATCTTTGATATTTTAAACTTTAAAAATAAGATCACGCAGAATTCACAGTTTAAGCTATCAAAAGTCTACGACATCAGGTTGCAAAGATTTAAGGATTAAAAGGAATAGTTTGAGACAAGTATTCCTTAAGAATATTTTCAGAAACTTCTTTATATTAAAGCTTACAAGTAGTACGTGTAAACATTATATTTGAAGACGTTGACGTGAGTTTTGATGGATTCGATGTCACCTTCTCGCTTCTAGATCTTTATCTTTAACGCCCCGGAAATTCACATTCTTCTTCAAATAAAAAATGTTAGGTTACGAACTTTACAAATACGGTTTTTTGGAAAATTCTTGTTTGCATTTTATTTCGACTAACATGCGTTTCATCTTTGACCTTTATCATACAGATAGGAGAGGAGAGGAGAGTTAGCATGTTGCTTTAGTTGTTTTTTACATAACTAAAAGAGTACATAATTTCCTTACAGCGTACAAGGTTAAATAAATATTG